CAACAACAAGTCCACCATAGCTATGGCTTCCCTCCTTCAGCCTCCGCTCTCATGCATAGGCTATGGCGGACTAATGAGGGCCCTGCCCTCCTGTCCAAAGGACAACCCAAAGCAGCTATGGCGCTGCACTCCTGTCCAAAGGACAACCCAAAGCAGCTATGCTGCTGCTGACTGGTCCGCCATGCCTGACCCTGCCTCGAGCCTCCTTGGTGCAGCACTACCCAACTGGAGCCTTCCAGATGCAGCGCCCAACGAGGTGATGAAGACGGAGTCCACCATAGCCAGGTAGGTGCCTCGCCACTCTCCTCCTTCGCCCCCTTCTTCCTCCTCCTCGAGCTGGACCGCTCGCCGTAGCCAGGCTGAGCTCCAGCTGCCCTTCACCTCCAAGCAGCGCTGTAGCAGCCAGCGCTGTGCTCCAGCAGCATGTTGCCAATCGTCGCTCTCCCTGGAGATATAGCGGCCTACTGGCCTCCTGGGCGGTGACTTCCTTGGCCGAGCGGCCTCCCAGCAACCGATACCTCCTCCCGTTCGGAGGGAAACATCATTGCAGGCTCTGCTATCCTCCGTACAGGCCCTAGACCCGGGCTACTTGGACTGGTACCGGCCTACCTGCTACTTGAGTGTTTTTCCCCGCTGTTCTAAGTGTCGCGGGCCTACCCCCGCTACTTGAGTGTTTTCCCCCCTGCAACCCTCAAAGTCACGGCCACAGGTAAGTACCGGCCCTGCGGGGCCTTTCAACCAACAAGTACCCTTGCGGGTCATACACACACTCAACCGACAAGCACTCAGACAGGCATGCAAACCAGCAGGCACGCACACACACAGACTTGGAAATCACAGCAGAATGCGGGAATTTCAGCAAGGCATTCATTCCAGCGGCAAATCCCAGAAATCAGCAGTGTTCTCAGTCTGTGTTTTTGGCGGGTCATTACACTAGGGAACTCTTGGCCTTCTGTATAAGGTAGCAATTTAGAAGTGTGATAGACGGGGTAGGTCTTTAGATCTGGGGGAACATCAATGCGGCAGGATAGTCCATCCACGTCCCCAATCACTTTGAGAACTTCCCATGGTGCAAAAGTAGACAGGCACCATTTTTTGGGATATCCCTTCTTCCGGGGAGAACTCATTTGACTTTACCCAAACGATATCTCCTCCTTTAAACTGAGATGGCCTTCCATGCTTATTAGCCTGCTCAATCATTTGGGCTTGAGCTTTCTTTATGTTCTCCTTAGCTTTCGCAATATCCTGTTCATACAAAACTGAAAATTCTCTTATTTCTGGTGGTAGCCTTTGCACACTGTCCCTTGTCAGGGAGTCTATGGGTTTTCTAGGCTTCCAACCCTTGTGCAGTGCATTAGAAGTTCTCCCGGTAGCAGTGTGTACACTGTTGTTGTAGGCACTGGCAATCTTAGGTAAGTGTCATCCCAGTCAATCTGATCAGGTATGATGTACATGCGCAGAAGTTGTTGGCACAGTCTATTTATTTGGCACAGTCTATGCATTTGTTCAGTCTGTCCGTTTGTCTCAGGGTGCGCTCTTGAAGACATTGCTAGTCTGGTTCCATAAAACTCCCACTAATTTCTGCCATTGCTGCCTGGTGAACCGGGCATCTTTATCAGATACAATGGTTTCCGGGAATCCATATTCAGAGACCCATCGCATCTGAAATTTCTGAATGACCAGTTAAGTTCTAGCTTCAGCAGGTAAAGGAATGAACATAGCATACTTAGTGAACCAATCGATGACGACCATCACTTGGCTGTTTCCGTTCGACTCTTGGTGAGGGTCATAAAGTCGATGGAAATTGACTCACAAGGTCTGTCGGGAATAGGAAGCGGTCTTAGTTGTCCCAAGAGATTCTCATGGGAGGCTTGTTCCTTTGGCACATTCTCATGAGAGGGTTGTTCCTTTGGCACACAAGACAGGTTCTCACATACGTTAGTACATCATTTTTCATTCCTTGCCATTTGAACTGCTCACGCACATTAGCAAAAGTCTTCTTAAAGCCAAAGTGACCTTCTCTGTCGTGACACACCCATAATTAAGCTTTTTATGGCTTCATCGTGGGGCACACAGATTCTTTGCTCACCTTTGTCAATTAGGAGTCATCTTGTATTCCGGGAAGCGTTCAGGATTAGTATTACAACGTTTCATAGATACAGGAAAGTGAACGACCTACAGAACAGATCCTGTTCAAGTACATCCGTTAAAATTGGAACGATGCACAGAAGATTAGCATGGCCCCTGCACAAGGATGACACGAGTAAATCGAGAAATGGTCCAAATTAAAAATGAAAATAAAAAGTATTACAACGTTTCGTTGGAAGCAGGTGTTAAAGTCATGTTATGAGGAATGCATGTGTGATGTGGGCCTAATTGTCGTCTGTTGACATTCTGAAGAGGGGTTTCTGTCATTGTCACGTCATGCTTCTGAGTGCTTACATTGTTGTCTCGCGCATGACCTCATCGCCATGGTGACGGGGGCAATCAGCTTCTCAATCTGACTTCGGTCATTTATAGCCAAGGTTGGTTCTAATGCGGAAAGTTGTTTTTGGCTGTTGGCGATCTGATTGATCTCTTGAATCGTTGTACGCCTATGGAAAAATGGTGTTTGTGGTTGTCATCTCGTCCATTGATCCTTGAGATTGTCGTGTCATGGAGTAATCTTATGGTGCTCCGCATGCTGCCCATTTCATCGGCAGTGATATCAAAGAGTTTTTTCCTTTTTTTTTCTTTCTCTCACAGTTGAAAAATTAGAACGGTGGTTGGCTCTCGCGTGCCCAGTCTCCAACTCCAATGAATTATTTCAGAACAAAGCAAGAAAGATGAAACAAACAGACAAAAAAAACCCTCTGGAAGATGGTGGCCCCTTCAAAACGACGCTTTGCTGGGATGGAGGGCTTTTTGCTGTCTTTTGGCGCGTGCCTGCCATGTGGAGGGTTTTGTCATTTAGTTGTTGTGGTTGTTATTTTCCTTGCAGCATTAGCCTGCACAAGATTTTGATTCTCGTTGGGTGAGTTCTCACTTAGCAAGGTGGATTGGTTGGGGTAAGTTCCCGAATCTGGCACGCCTCAAGCGCCAGATGGAGGCGCTATGTTGGGTGTTGGTAGTATCCTGCAGTCAGCTTTTGTGGCTGAATGGAACGCTCGTGAACTGTTGAAATGCAGGCCTAGGTCCTGCAGAGGGCAGGATTCTCCTTCAGTCCTCGTGGCTGAATGGTGCACTTGCGAAGTTTTGATACACAGACCTGGGTTCGATTCTTGCCCAGAGGACTCCCCCTACTTCTGATTGAAGGTGTGGTGTCCAATCGCCACGCCCTCCAATCTCTTTGTGCAGGGACTAATGCCCCTGCTACCTCTACAAGGTCTACTCAAGTGGAGCTTTTCTTATGGCTGGGCCACCCTCACTTGAATCGAACGGGTGCCCAGCCCAGTCGGTCAGCATGACTTTCACCTGGCAGATGTGGGTCAAATCCCAGTACGAACAAAATTCGAATTAGTTTTAGGGCCGGGCTTCCCGAACAAAAAATTTTGCCAGCCCTACTTTCTGTAGGGTAGAGTAGCTTAGAATGATTTTAATGTCCTTGTCGCCTACCTATGCCATGTCCAGAACAGAGGGGGCCATTGTGAAGGGTGAGGTGGTGTTTCGTGCCGCTTGGGTATCCTGCAGTGGGCAAGATGGCACACACATTGTTGACTGGCATGCTGTGGTGGGCCACGGCTTCCTCGCAAGAGTCTGCCATTTGGCCACGTCTAAGCGCGGTAGAGCCTCACCTGGCGGCATATGGGCGCACCTGGGTGTGTAAGGGTTTTGCTCCAACACTGCCAACCTGTCCCCCTGGGCAGAGCAGCAGCATGACTGCTTGGTGAATGAGCAGGGGTGCTCACTGTAGTGATATATATACTCTTTTGCTGCCTGGCCTCCTGTACCTCTTGGCCGGGCATTACCTGCCTTCCTGGGTGCCGTCAGGTGCACTTGGCCCACTGGATGTTCTCCTCTTTTGGTGGGAACATTATTGCAGAGTGATACTTACCCGCAAGTCCTGAACTCTCTACATCCAGGCCCTGGACCATCATTACCTACTAAATATCCACCAGATCCTTCTAGGTTAACTGGCCTGCTGGATAATCCCTACCACCCCTTCAGCAAATGTTACTGATGTCCCTGGCTGCCACTCTACCCTCAACATGTACGTACTGCTAGCTTTCCATCCTGTCCCTGATTCTACCCCTTTCTCTACTTCATCGCTGTCCGAGGCACAGCCGCACAACATGTCCAGCGGAGTTAGCGCACTGGCTCAGACTTGGACTAATGAAAGCACACAACATGCATACATTAGCAGCAGATCACACCCACACTTAAAATTGCAAGTCTCGTCAAACAAATCAGAAGGGCCATTCTCAGAAAAAGTACAGAGTTCTGAGACCACAATTGTGAGGGTCATTGCACTTGTCGTTCATTGCACCTGTCGTCTCATGTTAGGGTGGTGGCCATTGCTCTGTCGTTGCCACTACTTGTATGCGGACAGAGTGAACGTTCCACTTACTGATTGTGGGTTTACTTATCTATGAGATTCTGACGCGACTAGTTCATGTTAAGTGCCTCTCCGAACCTGTCTGCTGCTTGGAGTAGTACACCTGCTGGCTTATGTATCTCGTTTCTTGTTTGGTTTCCCCCTGCGAGATGGAATGTCTGATCATCTCTGATGTAATGAACCTTGTGGTTGGATGTTCTTTCAATTGTAATGCTTAATAGGCATCAGGCAAGTCGTGGTACAACATCTCAAAACTGTCCACGCGTTTAGACTAAATTTTGTTCCGGGGCTCGTGGTGGCCCATCATTGGGTGGGGTTCTCCTCCTGATTGGGTTCCGATGTCTTTTTAATTTTTTTTTTAATGCATTGGTGCTGAAGAAAATCGATGCAGTTTACGACTGGTTTCTCAATCTAATTCAGAAGGCAAACTGTCTGTGGATATGGTTCTTGTGCCGTCTCATTGTAGTTCATTTTAGACATGCACTTCTTGATGCAAGCAGCAAATGTGGGGCGCTATTCTTCAAGAGCTATGCGTGAAGTTGCTGTGGAGGCCATTAACCGTGCGATCAATGCGTACTCTGCACAGGGTGAAGATGCTGGCAGGTATGTCGTCACTGTGGAGGCCATTCCATCTCATTGAGTGTCGTTTGTAAGTGGATGTGGATGCTTTCACTATGTACTCATCTGAAACCTGATGGGTTATTATCCAAGTCCATAAAAACTCCAATCAGTCAAATGCATGTGGTTACCTCTTTTTGATCAGTGTGCCTCCAATAGTAGTTAGTAGGAAAGCCCGTTTTTTATCGAGGAACTGCATTGGATACCGTAATTAACATTTTGTTACAAGGCACATCTGATTACAATCCACTAATCTGTGAAGGGTTAAGTGTCTGGTGTTGTCTGGTGTTGGCGACATAAACACCTCACTAACCTTGTAGTAGATATTATCACTTACCCGAAATGAGTAATGTTGGAGAGAGAGACGGACTGGCCGTTTCTACTTCACGCTGAAAGGAAGGATAACCCAGGCGGGGCCTACCATTTTCATATTTATCAGGTTTAGCACCCCCTGTGCCTATAGATGACATCAACACAAAGGACGACTATTCCCACCAATGCAGCTTGTGCTCATATGGCATGAGCCGACAAATTCATATCACTATCACTACCGTCAGAAGAGCGCACAACCAAAGTGATTACAGAAGTTGGTCATACACACTCGAATTGCAAAGGACATAACCATAAAGCCAGTCGGTACCAGTATGATTGCGAAGACGAATGCGCCTACCATGCACAAATGCAAAAGAGTTTGCATGCACTGCTGGTATGATGGAAATCAGACATGGCACTTGTGATTGTGGTGAGAACCAGCTAAGGTGCGGCTACTGATGCACTGACATCGATAGCAGTTCGGGAAGCGCTTGAACATGCACGACTCTGAACGTTAGTGTTGATAAGAAGTGCCATCAAAGTGATGGCTAAAGACATTCTACAGTCTACAGTCTCCACTCAGTTAGCCCGGTGGTCGCAGGAAATAGATGAATGTAAGGGTTCAGAAGAAGATGGAAGAAAGGTAACGGTTGAAGAAAGGTAATGGAAAGAAATAGATGAACGTAAGGGTTGAGAAGAAGATGGAAATAGATTGAAGGCTGCTATGAAGGTAAGGTGGAAGAAAGGTAACGGTTGAAGAAGATGGATGTCTATAGGGGATGGTTGAGGCTGAAAGGGTTTAAGGGTTGAAGAAGGTAGTTGGCCATGGAGCATGGGTGAAGGTGGAAGAAGGGTAAGGGTTGAAGGTGGTTGGCTATGGAGGATGGGTGAAGGGTTGAAGACAGTAGGTGGCTATGGGGAATAGGTGAGGGTCAAAGGGTTTAAGGCATACTTGCAATGAATCACGTGCGTGCCATATGCACACATGTGGCGCATATGGCATGCGCATGCGTGTGTGTGCACGTGATGTGGCGCACCCCGGGAAATAGGAGTTGGAAAAAAAGGGGGGAGGGGCGGTGTGTGTTACACTCCCCTTGTGGCGCTCAATTGCGGCCCCTAAAGAATTTTGTGTGTGTGGCACCTCGAATGTACAAAAGCAGTATGTCCTCTAAGGTACAGTCATTATTGAGTGTGCTTTCTGTTGTCTCAACGGGAACTTTCCGATGAGACAGTGGTGTTCTTCCTTTTTTTTGCCATTTCTTGTTTGTTTTTTTTTTCTAGTGGTAATCAGCAACAGTTCATGCCAGCAGTTCCAGTCAGGGCATCTTCACGCACCCACTATAAGGGCATATTCGCACTTTTCTTAATGAATCTGTCCGGTCTTACGCCCAGATCTCGATGAATCTGACCGCAATCACTTCCAGAGCATATTAGAAAAAGTCCTAGTGTGAGTATGCCCTAAGTCAGAGTTGTTGAAGTGAATAAGACCAGAATCAACGCCGGACACAAGTCCCACACCTCTTAGGGGAAGTTAGGGCCTCCTACGTTCTGAATCGTGCCAGGCTGCCAGCTTCATGAAATGCTCCATCGAAAGAACAGAAGAAAAACAAAAGCCCACTGTACGATTGAACGGCTACTTCGTCTTCTCACAGGGCGCACTCAATGATAAGAAAACGCGTTCATCTTCTCACAGGGATGGCAAGATACACTCCACTATCCATTTTCCTTTCTCTCGATTCGTGTGCCTTGTGCCGAGGCCCATTACCTCTACGCTATGCCTGGATGTATGCAAGCAGTCATCCAGGTCCTTATCAGTCATAATGCGGGCGGGTGTTGTTCTAGGACTCGCTATTTCTGACGACACTACTGACAACTTTCCGGGGTCCATTTTGCTCAGTGCACACTCATTATGACGGTACTGAACCTGAAAAGGGGCTTTGTGTACATTCAAAGAGGTTGGCAGCCGCTTCCACAAATCGTTGTGTCTGTGATGTGGCCGTTATGTCTCTCTCTGAATGTATAGAAGCAGCTTTTCAGCTCCAATACAGTTGCGATGAGAGTCCATGTTGTGTATTGGTCTTTTTCTTTTGCTGTGGCTAAATGTGTGCTGTTCTTCCTTCACGGGTGTTTCTTGAATTTCGCTCCTCTCTCTCTCTCTCTCTCTCTCTCACACACACACACACACACACACACACACACACACACACACACACACACACACACACACACACACACACACACACATTAAAAAAAGCGCATTTCACTTGTGCACGAGCACGAGGTGCACTCCTGTGCAGCCTAGCGCACTGCACCTGTGTGCACGCTGCGCGAGATGCGCACGTGCGGGCACATCAACGATTCGCGCATGGCGCACAGTGCACCGCAAGTATGGCTGAAGGGCTGAAGAAGGTGGAAGCCTCTGGATGATGGATGAACGTGTAAGAAAGGGTTGAAGAGGGGAGGTGGCTATGGAGGATGGGTGAAGGTGGAAAGAGGGTAAGGGTTGAAAAAGATAGGTGGCCATCATTCAACGCTGTGGCACGTCGAACTCTTTTATTTATTTATTTGGATTATTTCCAAAAATTATATCTTGTGGCACGTCGAACTCTTGATTAGCCTCTTGCTCATTTTGCTACTTGCGGCATATTTTGACGCCTTGAGGGAGGTTAAATGTTGCCAATTTTGAAAAATCAGAATTCCCCCCTTGTTTAGTTATCTTTATTTATTTATTTTCAAAAAATCCTATTTTGTGGCAATGGCTTATTCTGACTTTGGGGAGGGTGCGGCTATGTTACCAAATCTTCCAAAGAAGTAAATACTCTGTCCATCTTATCTTGTTTATTTATTTGTTTTCTTACTCTCATTTCTATATCTTCTTCCTCTATGCTTTATTTATTACTTGTTCTTCCCCTCCGTGACTGTATGATTTTTCTCGCTTCTTTAAAAGCCCTCTGGGGATATGCTACCAAAATTTTGGAAGAAACAAGTAGTTTGTCAATGTTGTTTATTTGTTTGTTTCCTTACTCTTATTTCTATTTCTTCCTTGTTTATTAAACTTCGTTTTATTTCAGTCTTTATTTATTTATTCCTTGCTGTGCCCTCTGTGATTGTATGCTTTTTCTCCCTTCTTGATTAGCCCTCTGCCCTTCATATATCACATGGAGAGCTTAGGTCTCTCTTCCCGTCCTGCCACCCTGGACCCTGGCACACCCCCGGTCTCCCCCCTACTTTCTCCGTTCCCTTTAGCCAAGCAGCTCGAAAGAGTCTCTTGGTCCCCTCCCCCCCGCTTTCTCGATTCCCACAAGAGATCCTCTCATCCTTCCTCCCCTCCTCCCCCAGCACCTGCATGACCATTCGCATTGTCCCCAGGTTTAAGACATGGGCCTTTCCTCCACGCTTCTCACAGCTTCGACCGTCTCCTAGACGGCTGATCCAGCTGCCTCACAGGGCCACACCTCTCCCCCCACCCATGACCTCACTGCCATCGTGATAACCGTCTTGTCATAGCTTGCGGACCTCTTTGTTGGCGTGGACCGCTTGGGGGCTTCTCCTCCCCGCCGCTTTTCCCACAACTCAACTCAAGTCTCCTTCATGGGTAGTTCACTAATTGGTTCTCCCATACATGTCTGCGGCCACTTCTACCGCTCAGGCCTCTACATCTAGCATGACAGTACCATCCAGCTCCACAGTCGTTGCTGCCGCCCAGGTCCATCCCTCTAGCAGCACCACTCGCCTCTACCTCCTCTCCTGCCACCCAGGTCCCTACTTGTGGCCCTGCATTGCTTCTTTCACCCTCGGAGGTTCCCATTAACAGGGCGGGGTTTCTTCCTCTCGTACGGTCACACGCAGTGGGTCTTGCCGTGGCTTCAGATAGAGACGTGCACACTCACCCTCGTGTGGATTTCCAGCAACGAGCTGTGCGATGTTCTTGTGGCCCGCCTATGCGGTACTGCCTCCCATGCATGGGAGGGCTGCTACGCCCATAGCCCGCTCCTTGGCCTCGCTACTCAACTGACCTACGTGGTATTCGCGGCCGTTCTCCACACTCAATTTTGTCCATCCTCGTGATGTTGAGGAGGTTCGACTTCGCACCAATTGCTTGTATTCCTGTCTCCAGTACCTTAGGTTAATCCCAGAGAAAGCGCATTTTATATCAGATGGTCCTCGATGTCCCATTAACATTATCCCTCCAAATGTATTCCTGTCTCCAGTACCTGGTCAGTTCCGCACCTTCACTCCAGAGCACTTTTCAATATGATGGAGATAGGCTACAATGCTGTTCATGGTACGTTGTGGTCCTGTCAGTTCTTCACCACCGTTGTGAACAGGGAGATCGAATCACTCGTTATTACAACGAAGTATGCTCTTACCCATCACATCCCAATCGAAGGTACCATGGTCGATATTTCCCCTCACCTCCCGCTTGATGCCCATCATTCCTACTGTTTGCACCTAGACTTTGCCAGTCAGTCACTTTGCCAGTTTGGTCACTTCACGCTGTAGCAGGATGTCAGACTACGTCATGAACATTGTGGATCACCTTCATTACGATCCAATTTGCGAGGACGCGGAGCTTGTGCCTCAGGAGTTTGATGCACCCAACCCTTCATTTTCGCAGATCCCATCATTGTATCCCTATCTCCCAGCCTCTGGATCCCTCTTCCACATTCCAGGCTTCCACCTCATCCCCCACCGAGTGTGCGGCTTTGCCGCGCAGCCAAGCAGGCCTTGAGGAACTGGATAGCTATACAACAAATTTACCACCATCTGTCCACGACTTGGTTTGGGATTACGGCGATGGTTTCTCCCCGTATTTCTCATACAGTGGAGTCCCTTCCACGCGCAGTGGAAAGCACATCATATAATTAAGTGCCTAACTATCACGTTCACCATGAGGCACCCTATCGAGTGTTGATTCCCGGGGCAAAGGAACTCGAGCATCAGCTTGAGGAACTACTTCGACTTGGTTTTCTCAAACCCAGTACCTCTCCTTGGGGTGCACCTGTCCTCTTCGCTAGCAAAGCGGACGGTAGTCTTCGTCTCTACATGGATTTTTCCGGCCTTTTTTTTTTTTAAAGAAAAACAAAGGTTTAGGATACTACTGGGGTTTGATAGGGGGTGATATTAGCATCCTCCGATAATATTCCCACCTTGACTCCTGTCTATTGGTGGGGAGCAGCACCTGCTTGAAACCGTGTCAGCGTCCGTTCACATAACTTGCAAAACCTAGCCTCATAATTTGCTTTGTGCATTTGGCAGGATTGTTTGCCCTGTCACCAGGGGATTAACTGCCTGTGCCTCTTGAGGTGTGCCCTCGACCAAAAAAAAAACAAAAAAAAACAAAAAAAAACAAAAAAAAACAGGTGTGCCCTCGACCGAGGAGGACCTCTCCAACCCTTCTGGGTTGGCAGATGAAACTTGACTTCACCAGTCTCTCCTGTCATTTACCGTTTGAACTGATATGACACCCCAAATCCGCACAACTCGTCAAGTTTATGAAACCACTATCCCGTCGTTAACCGCTACACAGTTAAAAGCAGCTTTCCCATGCCTCGAGCTGACGAGCTGTTTGACCGTCTGGCAAGAAACCGCTTCTTTACGAAGATAGATCTGTGTAGTGGTTTCCATTATATGTGTTGCTGCAGAGGACCAGCCGAAGACCGCATTTGTCTCGCTTTGGCCACTGGGAGTTGACGGTGATGCTGTTCGGCCTCACCAACGTGCCCACCGCTTTCCAGAGACGGCGATGAACAATGTCTTCAGGGACATCCCTGAAGACTAATTCTCGTAGATGACATTTTCCTGCACCTTCAGGTTGTCCACAGCACTTGGGGCGTTGTGGTTTTTATGCCGATGTCCGTTGTGCCACTCTGCCCAACGCAAAGTCGATTTCCTAGGACATTGTATTTTCGAGCAGGGTCTTCACATGGACGACACGAAAAATGCAACGTGCTTGGTTTCGCGGTCTGTCTGTTGACTTAGGCTCCTTCGCCTCTGCCGGTAGGTGCGAAGTGTGGTAGGTACTATGAGCCCAAGCAGTTGCGTAACTTCGTAGGCCTGATGGGCTACTACCGCCCGTTTATTCAGGACTACGCTAGGTATTCGCACCCCTTCACCTCCACCTTCCTTCATAAGAGCGCTCATCTTATCCGCTGAAGTGCCTCTCTGCCCTAGGTAGTTGTCCCTTCTGCCGCCCTGTCCCTATTTTTCTCTTCCTGCCAGCTGGCCCATTATTGATGGCTTGCCAATTCTCCGAACTGTCTGGAGGCCCACCTACTTGGCCCGTGTCCTCCCGAGCTTCGTTCAGTCGGGACCTCGGATGCTCCAGACCTGTCCCAGGTTCATAGTCTTGGTGCCTCCATCTCTACTCGCCTTCTACTTATCCGCTTAACTCGGTCAGGAACACGCCGCCCGTCAGACATGTCAGCCATGGCCTTTGCCTCTCAGGCCCTTTTCCTGCGACTACTATTGCCCCTTCTTATCCCGGGCCGCCCAAGAAGGCGCTGCCAGCAGCCATTCTTTACTTTGCTTGGAGAACTCTGTCTCTCGCCCGCCCCAATTAGTTAGTTAGGAAATTGTACCCGGCCAATTTCTATGGTGCACACAACTGTCGTTTGTCCGTGTTCTCAAGCGTGGAGCCTTGGTTCGAGAACCGAGGGTCACGGATGGTGAGAGGTATGACTGGGTACTATTATCGCCACTGTGGAGTCGTATGCTGCAGGAATCATTGAATTTGAATATGCAGATGTGCTTGCGATGTTTTTTTTTGCCTCTTATCTGCAAAACTCCCGGTTGTGTGTCAAGGATCTTGGTTGCTTGCTGCTTACTGCCACTTTCATTAGTTAATGACAATTTGACAAACTCCTAATTTGTTATTGGATCTGTCAGCTAGAGACGGAGGGTTACCTTTGTAGGGTTTCAATTATTTTCGAGTGGTGTTTTAAGCGCGTGCACCATCTTGTCGGTCGGTTACCAGCCTTGTGTTGACTTTATTTCTGGTTTCTATATCCGACACGTGTGCATTCCATATTGTGTAGTTGTGGGTATCCGTGTGTAATGCGACCATGTGTTCGTGTGCGTGAAAGTGTGTCGGGGTGGGGAGGGTGGGGGTGTGGGTGTGGGTGGTGGGGGGGGCATGTGTGCACGTGCGTGATTGCGAGTGTTTCTCTGTGCGGGTGGATGTGGGTGGGTGTGGGTGGTGGTGGGGGCATGTGTGCACGTGCGTGATTGTGATTGTTTCTCTGTGCGGGCGGGTGGGTGTGTGTGGGTATGCCTGTGTGAAACAGCTTTCTTCAAACCGATCAATGGTTTCAAGGGAAGGCCCAGGATGCATTGAAACAACTCTTTCGTGAATGGTCGGTTCCACAACGAACTGGGTTTGAGAGCTGTCCAGACAGCCCGACGCATTCCATTTCTTCTCATCATTCACATGGGAGTGAGGTTCCAAGCCCCTAGCTGGAAACTCTGGTATGCTGGACAGACTGCAGGATGTTCACGATGGAGGTGAAAGAGCGATCCATATTTTCCCATATGGAACAGGCAGTGGCGAACGGGTGGTCCAAGCAGTGTCGATGCTCCAGCAGGCAAAAGTTCTTAAGTGCAACGCTAATGATAAGCCCAGCATGTGTGATAGAGGAGGCAGCGGCTCCAAGATGGATGTCCCTTGTTGTTATGAGGGGTATCCCATTCTTCCCGAAGGGTTTGCGGATAAATCTGATTTGCTGTTATCTACAATCCCATTTCCACCCCCCAGGGTCATTTTGAATTTAAATAATAAAAAATGTCACCGCGTTACTTCCGCTCAGTCATGTTCCGACTAGCTATCGGTTCAGTCGCCGATTGGCGTCGTTTCTGTCCAAGGACCATGCAGTGGTCACATATGCCTGTGATTACTGTGAGCGGGGAGGCGTTTGGACTGTCGTCAGTCGATTGACAAGAGTCCATCGATGTGCTGACAGGTTGATGGCAGTCCATCATCTTGATGATTATCATCGCCAAGTAGTTTGCGAGTGCAGCCACCCGTCTCTGTTGGATCTGTCCTGCGTATGGTGAACCGAATACCTTCGAGGAGAAGGGAAATGACCCATGGTGGGATTCACTGTGGTCAGTTTGCTGAAGGACTGAAATGGTCGTGGGCAGCACTTCGCCGTGTTGTGATGTGTTCGCTTCTGGCAGTTGCTTCAGACAAGAATTCGGAAGGATAGAATTTTCGGGTGTTGCGAGGACGGTGCACTTCACTGAGCGTGCCAAACCCCTCCGCGTTTTTGGGTGGTCGGGCTGCGTCACGTGGCCGCACGCCGCCCCCGCTTCTGCCTTGTTGCCGAACCCATAACTGGTAATTCAATCCATCAAATGGAGGCAAAAGTCACCCAGCTTTTCTACCTGCTCCAGAATCGGCAACGCAATCTACCGAAAGGGAGGGAGGGCAAAGTCACCCAGTTTACTACCTCCTTTATGTGGTTGTCGTAGGGGACATTGTCTCTCTGGGCAGGCGACTATTCGAACAGTCTGCCCCAGAGTCGGCTGTGCGCAGGCAGAAGCGTCACAGAGTGCCATGGATTCCTAGGATGCAGCTGTTACGGTGGGTGGAGTGCATTACGGGGTGTGTCCGCGGAAGGATAGCATTTGCGGTGATTATCTGAGTAGTAGTTTGTACGTTCATTTCCACACTGCGTGTGCTGCATCAGGGGTTTCTCGGCGAGTAGCAGAATGCTCACCCCACCATGTCGACCGGTAGGCCGGTGGCGGGGCAGTTGCAAGCTCTGCGGAGGGCATGTCTTAGAGAGCATGTTGTGCCTCAGGATGGAGCTGGCAAGTAGATCGATCAACACCTCTGGGTTATGCACACAAAGGAAGTACTTAGTTGGAGGATGTCCAGGGTTCCAGTTTTGGGCACGAGGGTGTAGCTGGCATGGCAATGGCAGTGTGTTCCGGAAACGACACAATTTTGGTGAAACTGCCCGAATTGAATGAAATGTTTGCAGTAACTTAACATGCATGATGTGGTTGGTGGCATCGATAGACAATTGGGCAGGGAGAATGTGAAACGGATGACATCTTTATGTGTAGAAGAATAATAAGGAGACAGAGGGAGGGTTGCTTTCGCACACTCTCTCTCTCTCTCTCTCTCTCTCTCTCTCTCTCTCTCTCTCTCTCTCTCTCTCTCTCTCTCTCTCTCTCTCTCTGTCTGTCTGTGTCTGTGTGTCTGTCTGTCTGTGTGTCTGTGTGAGTGTCTCACACACACACACATTATGGAGTGTACTCGTTGTGTACTCGTNTGTGTGTGTGTGTGTGTGTGTGTGTGTGTGTGTGTGTGTGTGTGTGTGTCACAAGTACACACATTATGGAGTGTACTCGTTGTGTACTCGTTTGTTGTCTCTTCTCGCTCTCTGCCTACGGTTTACTGGGCACTTCTGTTTGACGATATATCACAGCCCCTCGTTTGTTGTCCTCTTCTCCCTCTGTGCCTACAGTTTACATGGCAGCTCTGTTTGACGATATGTATATAAAACAGTTTGTCACAGCCCCTCGTTTGTTGTCCTCTTCTCCCTCTCTGCCTACGGTTTACCGGGCATTTCTGTTTGATGATATATATATACACACACCTGATGAGTCGGGGAATCTCCGATGAAACAGTTTGTCACAGCCCCTCGTTTGTTGTCCTCTTCTCCCTCTCTGTCTACGGTTTACTGGGCAGCTCTGTGTTGACGATATGTATAGCCTCCTGAGCCGGCGAAACTCGACGAAACAGTTTGTCACATCCCCTTTTGTTGTCCTCTTCTCCTTCTCTGCCTACGGTTTACAGGGCAGCTCTGTTTGATGATATAAACATACACATATATACATACCGTCGTCAAACATATGTCATTATAATATGATTATATAGATCTATATCATCAAACAGAGTTGCTCGGTGAACCGTAGGCAGAGGGAGAAGAGGACAATATATATATGAAACAGTTTGTCACAACCCCTCGTTTCTTGTCCTCTTCTCCCTCTCTGCCTACGGTTTACCGGGCAGCTCTGTTTGACGGTATATATATATATATATATAAAACAGGTAGCCCAGTCATGAATAATGTGCATAGCTTTGGGAACCTGGAGCAAGCTTTGGGAAATTGTGTACAATTAGCATATATACCAGTGGGTACTATATAGTTTTAGCTTCCTGACGAGTAGTGAAACTCGGACGAAACGACTCTGATGAAACAGGTTGTCACAGCCCCTGACGAAGGGATTTATGGGATTTTCAAAGAATTACAATTATTCTGCTATTTTTTCTAGCTATTAGGTTTGTATGATTTAACCTTTTTGTTTAGTTTCTTGTATTCATTGATTACAGTCACTGTGATTTCTTTCTCATTTTATCACATTGATTTCAATATGTATTTGAGTAGAAAAATCCATGATAATGAGAATTATCATTTTATTTATAAGATGCAAAAATAGGTTTATTGTCCTCTTCTCCCTCTCTGCTGACGGTTTAGCGGGCAGTTCTGTTTGATGATATATATAGTGTTATATACATATACAATTTGAGCAAGTGTCGCGCTCCGCGGCAGACGGGTTTGTGGGACACCTGTCGCTTACCCCTGGACGTGGCCAGCCTTGCATCTTCTACCATATGCCCTATCTAGGCCATTTTTTGCTTCATGGATAGTTTGTGATGATTTGGGGGGGGGGGGGGGGGAGAGAGAGAGAGACAGAGACAGAGACAGAGACAGAGAGTTTTAAAAAAGAACACACACAAAGTCGGATGCAACAGTTTGGGACAGTCGTTTTGTGGAGAGTTGTGTACAGCGAACACATCAACACAGGCAGATTCTCTTGTTCATTTATAATTCCCTGCTGAGAGATTTTGTATGTAGAGTTATGGTCATTGGCATGAAGCAAAGAGGGAGGCTTGAAACAATACGAAATATGCTGGTTATGGGTTTTCAAAATTCCAATTACGGTGGTTGTGGTAAAGTGCAAGAGGACATAAGGCTTTGAAGTTGTGAACGTTTCAGTTATTGATCATATGCATAGGAACATGTATTGTGGCAGCCTGGCAGGCAGGCTGACATGTTCCTGTGCATATGTTCGGATGAAACTGTTTGGGACAGTCGTTTTGTGGAGGTACGCACGCATAGGAGCACTTGAAGCTTTTTTCTCAGCAGTATTTACTATTTATTTATTTAATATTTACTATTATTTAGCTTATTTATCCAGTGGAAGAAAAAGATTTCGAATTTGAACGTCTGTGGAATCTAATTGACATTGCTGATGGATCTGAATTTTGAAGGTTCGTCCGGCATGCCAGCCTTGCCTGCCACATTTGAGCATGTGCTTTATTCGGAATGCTGACATTTAATTGCATGTCAAAGGCATTTGCAATTTTTCATTATTTTTGGGCATTTGGTAGCAGTGCCAAGGGGTTTGCAACTTTGCAAGTATAGTCTTAGTCTTTGGTTGGCACCCTTTTTTTGTTCGTTTCTTTTCTTTTTAGTTTATTTGGTGTGTGACCATGCCATTCTGCCTGCCACATTTGAGCATGTGCTTTATTAGGAATTCTGACTTTTTTTTTTCTTTTTTCTTTTTTTAATCACCTGGGGAGAGGCGCCATCTATTGGAGGGGAGAATCACCTGCTGGAAAACGGGTCCAGCGTCCCATATACCAATTGAAATTAGAGTACATCCGAAGCACAATGTGGGAATTCCGACATTTAATTGCATGTCAAAGGCATTTGCAATTTTTGGGCATTTGGTAGCAGTGCCAAGGGGTTTGCACGTATAGTCGAAGTAGTCTTTGGTTGGCCATTTGTTTGGCACCCTTTTTTTGTTCTTTTCTTTTCTTTTTTATTTGTTTGTAGTAGTCTTTGGTTGGCCATTTGTTTGGCACCCTTTTTTTGTTCTTTTCTTTTCTTTTTTATTTGTTTGGTGTGTGACCTTGTAGAGTATTGTTAGTAGTGTGGTTTGCTGTGTGGTGGTTGGTTGGTTGGCTGTGTGGGCACGCCTTTCCGTGCACGTATTGTTTTCAAATGCGAGTGAATATATAGAGGACAGGTTGAAATATCATTCGAGAAAGTTAACTAGAGGAAAATATCTTCCGTGCATCCTTGACACTCCTGAAGGAAATAGCGGTCCTCGCATAGTGCTCCTGCGTGGGCCCAACAAAAAAACCGGCTGGGAGGTGGTACAGTACTACAGGTGGGCCGCGGCCGAACCGGTTTTTTCTTTTTTTTGGGCGGTGCACTTGGGCGATTAACTTTTGGAGCCCACGGCGGCGTTCCGTGTTTTTTTTCAGCGAGGGCATTTTCGTTGTGTTGTTTTGCTTTTTTTTTTTTTTTTTTTTTTTCCTGTTGTCTGGTGTGTGGGTTACTGCGCAAATGTTCGAATACAAGTTCATTGTGCAACCCACTTAGATGAGCAGACACATACGTGACAGGGCCTCGCTGTACTACCGGCGGTGTATCTTTCCATGTTCTGGTGGTGTGTCATGCACAAAGGACAAGAAAAACGTTCTCATTTTGCACATGTTGGTTTCCTTCCCTGCTTCTCCTTGCCTCGTGAGACCCATAACCGACTATGGGCTTCGCTACGCTACTCACCGCATGTGCAAAATGAGAACGAATCTTCTGCCAGAACATGAAATATACACCGCCATAATGCCGGTGGCGAGTAGCGGAGCGAGGCCCCTTTTGGTGGGGACCGAGGCACAGAGCCTCAGGTTGCTGCTACTACTCATCGCATAGCTCCCCTTCAGGGGTGCACCTACTGAGCCAGGCCGGTTTTGTTTTGGCATTTTTGGGTTTGGACAGCGGGGCGGCTGGGCTTTTTGGTGGACTGAGGCACAAAGCCTTGGGTCACCGCAAACAAGGGGTACACCGACTGAGCCAGGCCAGTTTCTTTTGTTTTTCTTTTTTCGTGTTTGGGAGGAGGGGAGGCGGGGGCAGGGGCGGGGGCGGGGGCGGGGGCGCAGGGGGCCGTGTCTATGCTGTCACTACCTGAACGGCGGGCATGCACGTAGCCATGTTCAACTTCGGGCATGCGCGTAGCCATGTGCAATTTTGGGCATGCATGCCAGCCGTCCAGGCAGTGACAGAGACGCTACCACGACCTTCATCTTACGATTCCCAATACTCTCTAGTGTCTGTGCCAAGCTTGTTGATGTCGCTTTGAGAAACCTCGCCTCTTCACCTTCTTTGTCCTGCTTCATATCTGTTATGCCAACCCTGGGCTATAGGGGCAGATCCCGCTTCTTATAAGCAGGGCACTTTTGTGGAAAGAAGTCGGATCCCAAATTTTGCCTAAAAGTCGGATCCCGTCCCGGAACGTCGGGGAAGTGGAAACGTTCGCGTACGAGGAGGCGCGAGCGCGATTGCAGGGGCGGTAGTTTTTCCGATCTTCCGAAGAATCTGAGGGGGCGAGAGGATGTTGTATTTTTAGTATTTTACTATTTTTAGTATTTTGCAACACAAATGCCGACCACCATGGAAACGACAGGATGAAGATTAGATGTATATATACGACATAGAATGGACATTAAATTATTAAGAGATAGATATGCGAGGCCGTAAGCCTCGGCAAGCCCTACCGGGGCCCTGTTTCCAGCATGTATGGCCGCCCTAGGGGCTGTGGATGCCTAGGAGTGGTCTCAGGAAGGTTCGTTTTCAAACTGCCAGGTGGGGGGCTAGGTCAGTTGTGCACCACAATGGGGACGGGATATCTTGCAGCTCCAAGGGATACACGGTGTTCCAGAGTAGAATAGTACAATGACTACAGCAGCAACGTTGACCTGCAAAAAAGACATTGGGGACTGCGGCTGTTGGGGGGAGGGAGGGAGTAGTGCGCAGGGCGAAAAGGTTCTTCCCCTCTCCTTTCCTTCTGTCCCATGCCCTGTGTAGTCAATCCCCTGGGTTGCCAGGGCAATCAATACTGGCAGCAGGTTGTCGGATGAGGGACCTAGCTAACGCGTTAAACACTCCGCCTGGGGAGTACGGTCGCAAGGCTGAAACTCAAAGGAATTGACGGGGGCCTGCACAAGCGG